GTAAAATCACAGTTAGAAGAGACTGCAGACAGTTGAGGACAGTTACAGAAATCAGCTATTCAAGACTCCTGAATAGACATTTTTCAAAAAAGCCAGCATGGCAATTGCGTTAATGAATGTTTATGGGGAGATAGTAAAGGACATTTCTAGGAGCCATTTCGTTGTGTGCCTCCCTCATGAACCTGAAGAAATGTCCACCACATCACCACTCCCTCACACCAATTCCTCCCCACACCTGTCACCTCTTACTGCCTCCAAGAAAGCTCCTGGCAAACATCGCGCCAGATACACCAACGCTACAAGGAGGAGGCAATTTAGGAATGCGGCAAATACATTTGCATATAGTACTCCTGCGGAGCACTGAGCTGCGCAGGCCAAGTACCAGTGAGATCACCCTGATGTGCTCAGAACAACAGTTTCCATATGTGCAAAACAATCCAGGAACACAAGTAGAGAGGCCATTACTTTTGTGGAAGGTGGCAGGAGTTGACTTAACAGACGACTGCTTCTTAAATGGACAGTTCTATGTGGCCTGCTCTAGAGTGAGCTCACCAAGCAGCCTGGTGATTGTAGCATCTGAGGGCAGAACCACCAATGTGGCCTACAGAGAGGGGGAAAAGTACGTATGTCTCACTTCATTTTTACACTACAATCTTCTCCATTTCCTTGTTTAGGAATGATTACCGCTGTAGGGCTGTCTAACCTCCAGTTTATAGATTTGAATTCTTCTCGGAACCTGTTTGTGCTTGGCTTTTCTATCTTCTTCGGATTGGTCCTTCCGAGTTACCTCCGACAAAACCCATTGGTTACAGGTACAAAGTTTGTTCCTTTTCTTTCTTTTTGTGCTGTGTATATTAAAGACTTCTGCTCAAACAGTGACCAGAATTTTTTTAAAAAAATTCTGAAATGTGTGTTCACACAAACCTTGAGCCATTATGTATGCTACAATGAAGATGTCTGTCTTCTGCCAGTTAGGACTGCTTTTATTAATCAGAAGAAGTTTTAACTGCCTGTTAAAGTTTGGCTTCTAGTTCTTGGGGTTCCTGAAGCTATGTTAAGTGCTGACCAGAGGAGAATGCTGGCTCACGGTCCATTTGTGCTTTATTTAATTAAAAATACCTTTGTAAGCCTGGATGTTTCACAATACTGATGGTGCTTGAACTGTTTTTATTTCTCAAGCTATCTCAGGTCTAGTGAAAATTTACAGTCTTAATTGCAAAAACACTTTCATCTACAAGAAAATTAGCCCACATCTTGTAATTTTAAAAAGTGAACTGGATGGCTAAAATAAGATAGCTAAGATTACAAAAAGAAGCTGAGTCACCTCTATTTCTGATTATATATCTGGATTAGGGTCTGTATGAGTTTAGATCATGTACAAGATGGCTTTTGTCACAGGTTGTGTCCTGTTGCAATCCTGTTGTTTGAGTGTGGTGGGTTAGAAACACTTGTCATGAAACCACTCCAATTGGCCCAGTATTCAAGGGCAGGTTAGAGCTGTTGGACAACTGACCAGGGACCTGTCACTCTAGTCCAGTTGACTCTCCCAGCTTTTCAGATGAGGAAATCAGACACCTTTGCCCTTCTGTACACTATGTCCATGTGCCTTAGATCTTATACTGGGAGAAAGGTGCCACAGAAATCTTTGTGTATGATGGCATATAGGCTTATGCATGCATTTGTCATGGCAGGGCCAGGGAGCGTGGGTTAAACAAGTCAAGTCCAAAGCCAGTCCGATTTTCAGCCAAGTAGTTCAAGCAGCACAGGTTAAACAAGTCAAAAACAGTTCACAAAGCCAGCGTCAAACATACCATACGTCATAGTCCATAAATCAAACGAAGCCAGAGTATCGCAGAGCCGAATTCAGGGTCAAACAATGCGAGTGTCAAGGAGCCGAAGTTCAGAAGCCGAGTAGCAAACCATCAAGGTTTCAAGGAGTCCGGAGCAGGATTGCACAGAGCGTCTGGTCCTGTCAACTGAAGTTGCCAGTACGAATTGCTGCAAGCAGCAGGTTTGTTGATATAGCGTGCTGGCTCATTAACTTGTTATCTCTTGCTGAGCAAGGTCATGCTGCTGTTAAAACTCAGGGCTGAATGAGCGTCTTCCACGCATGTGTGTTGCGTCTCTCATTCAGCTCCTGTCTTCTTTGACTCCTGAGCCGGTTCACAGGTGGAGTCGGGTGGTGAATTGTTTGAGTTAAGCAGAGCCTGATCCGGCGCAGGTGTCTCTTGGGAGGCTCTATCCTCCTCAAGACTTATAGTGTCTTCTGTTAAAGGAGCCAGTTCCTGGCTGTAAGGCTCTGCTTCTGTGGTTCCATCAGGGGCTTGTGGTGCCAAGTCCACATGTTCCTGGCTGTCAGGTGCTACATCAGGGGCAGGCATGACAGCATTAAGTGAACAACTGCTCAGGTATCTATGCTGGCTACTTCTCTGATGTTAGCTTTTCAGATAACATGTATAAATACGATTGTTCCTAGGATTCTGTAGTCATGTCTTTTCTTTCTGCTTTGTTCATGTAGGAATAGCCAGCATTGATCAAGTACTTAATGTTCTTCTTACTACAGCCATGTTTGTTGGGGGCTGTGTAGCATTCATTTTGGATAACACGATTCCAGGTTAGTCATGCAATATGCCTCTTCCCAACTCCTCTTTTCTGTGTGCCTCAAATATATTTTTATGCTTGGCAGGAAATCCAAATCTCTTCTTGCCTCCCCCAACCCAAAACATAAAATACGTTAATGGTCCAGGAAGCTCTTTTACACAACTTCACTGAAATGAATGGGAATAGGGTACCCTTGAGCGGCTTCTGTTCATTTCATTGGGTTGGCACCCTAGAATCTCTCAGTAGATTGTGCCCTCCCTTTTCCTGCCTCTAATCGAGCCAAACAGCTCTCCTGCTTGGGTGCTTGCCTTCTAGAAAGGCTGCTCTTGCTTGAAGATGAGGCAAATGTGCCTGAAACCTACTTCCCTTGAAAAAATTAAAATGTTTCACACTTTGCATAAAGAATACAAACCTTCCACCCGGTTAAATGGGCCTTACTCCTCAATTTATCTTCATGGTTGTAGCTCTAGAAAGCAGCGTATGGAAGGGCCATTTCATAAGCTAAAGCCAGCATTTCATGGTTCGTTCCTTTTCCTTTCCTCACAAAGCACAGAAAGGCAAATGATGGAGCCACCAAATCAAGGAGGGCTTTGAGTAGCCTGTTCAGGTTATGCTGGTAGACATATGCTTGACCCTAAGTGGACAAGCCAGTTGCTTTCCTTGTACAGAGAAGTTAGCTTTTTATGTCTCTCAAGTATAATTCTAGAAGCTGTTCTTTTCTTCCTTCCTTCCAAAATTCAGGAAGCCCTGAGGAAAGAGGAATCCGAAAGTGGAAAAAAGGAACAGGCAAAGGCAGCAAATCTGTCGATGGAATGGAAACCTACGACTTGCCTTTTGGCATGGAAGTGATCAAGAAATACAAATGTTTCCGTTTCTTGCCCATCAGTCCCACCTTCATTGGCTACACATGGAAAGGTTTCAGGAAAGGAACCCAGGAAGAGGACTCGGAGGCTACTGTATAGCCCCTGCTGAAAATGTCTCCCTTCCATTTTTGCTATAGTAACAGACAGATTGGCAGTTACTTGCTGATTTTTATTTTATTTTGTATATCTGCGTTTTAAATTCTGGAACCAGAGCCGAGACAGATTCTAAAAATAGCTTTCCTATTGTGGGCGGTGATAGCTATCTATAATGTCTCTCTTTAGTTAACACGATGCTTGGTTTTGTTTTTAAAACTTTGTTAAAATAGCTTGCCTTAATTTTGGCACAGCTGCTCTTCTACTGGGAACTGTAAATCCAGCTCCAAAACTGGTGAATAGCATTTCCATAAATGCCGCACTGAGATATTGCTTTATCTTTTCCATTTGCACCAGATACATTCCATTTCTTTATCCCTCACGAGCATGCAGTCAGTTTTTTATACTCTGGCAAATTATAGCAGAGCGTATTGTAGTGGGCAGTACTTTTAAAGTTTTTCCAGCAATAGGCATGGAATTGCTGTACTGACAACTGGTGCCCTTTAGCACATGGTTTCTTTGCATAAGAGCAATATCCTGGAGCTCTTTGCCAGACTGACTATTTCTTAGCACAGCAATTGCTGAATATAGCTCCTTGTCTTGAGCTGTCATTCAGTTGCCACATCCCTTATCTGACAGTAGAAACACCCAAGCACTTCATGTATACTGGCAACCCAGGCCTTATATAACACAATAGCTATTAAGCACCTCGAGTCACTAGTTCTCAATAGAATAATGCAGATAGAATGTTCATCTTGTGTCCAGATTTTTTTGCTAATTTGTTTTTAGACTGTTGGAGGCTAAACAGTTTTGCCAGTCTCAAAAGCAGCCTACAGTTGACATTGTCTTTTTTGTGTTTCTTCTTTTCTGAGCTGAACTGAACACAGGACCCTTTTGAATAACAGATGAGACGTTATGTATGGCATCTCTGCCCACTGGGTGGTTTAACGGGTATTGGGGGCCCGCTGCGGGTGCCATTTGATTTTATTTTCCTGTACTAGTCTTGGCTCTGATATTACATGGCTGTTAATGCTCATCATGCATTCATAATTATAAACAAGTTATTCCAGTTTAATGTTCTTAATATTGCAAGTTAGTTTTTAGACATCAATGTTTTGTCTGTATGTGTGGCTTCTCTCTCCCCCCCCCCCCAATTGTGGCCCAAAAAGCATTTTTTTTTTAAGCTGTGGAAAGATTTGTCAGGGAGGCATTAGGGTAAGTGTTAACTCAAGGCCAGTATGCTCTGAGGTGCTTGCTTTGTTGTATATTTTGTTTTCGAAGCAAATACTGTAAATTTTGGTCAGTTTCTCAAACTTAGCTACTAAAAAAGAGCAAAACAGCCTTTATTTTATCTCTGGGTTGGGGAAAGGCAGCAAAGAGCCTCGATGTATCAGTATTGAAAGGTGCAGAATGGAAATGAAGCAGTCAATGGTTTGTATGTCAGCATGTTCCCTACCATTTCTGCAGCAATTTTTGTTTTGTTTGGATCCAGATTAGTTCCACATTCTGATCTCTCTTCAACTAACTTTCAGTAGTATGCTGTCTTGGAATCAAATGACAATAAGCCCAGCAAAAAAGGTTAAATTAGGGCTGGTACAGTCTTTTGGAGGTACTCCTGCAACATTGGGAACTACTTGTAAGTTTTGGTTGACAATGCTACAGCAATGATTCTGTGCACACTTACATAAAAATATGTTCCATTGTGTACAGTGGGACATGCTTCTATGTAAATATATTTAGGGCAGGCCTGCTCTTTTCCACCCTGTATTTTAAGTGCAACCAAAGAAATGGGGGAGGACAGCCACCTTGGTTGAACAGTGGTTATATAATCATGTCAGATGCCAAAGTCCATCCTTCTTTTCTTCTCTCTCTCTCACACATGCACATTGGCAGAAATTACCTTATGCATGTTTTGATCATAGCTGGCCTCTCTTTTCTCTCCTCCGCCTGCTCCACTGTTTCTTTCTTCTCTCTTTTCTTCTCTTTTGCCTAAAGAACCAGTTGTTTCTTAATGCAGAATCAAAATGTCACTGAATGTGACTTGCTGCAGGGTTTGTTCAGGCGCAAGTCCCCAAGAACTTGGACAAGAATAAGTCCTCAGTGGGTTACGTCCAGTATTGTTAAATGAGCAATGTGGAGGCCTAGGCAGGACCAATGTGTTTCAAGCACCTTAATATTGTGTTATTGTCCATCTCCTTGCTTGACTGTATTTATTGCAAAAACTCTCTTTGGATGAAATGCAACCAACAGCCGGTTCGTATACTGCACAGAAGCGACGGGCATTTCTTGTCTCGCTTCAGCTGTGATGTGTGCTCAGGTATAAAGTCATGTTTTAGGGGGTTCTCCAGCCTTCCTGGATGAAGGTTTTAAAAGTGCAAATCATGTAAAAACGTTTTCAAGTCAGACCCCATTTTTTCTGAGACTCTCAACTAACTTGAAAGGCTTGCAGTGACTGTATTAACTGCACCAAACTGGCAGTATGCAGCAGAGGCAAACCAGTTTGCCAGAAGGTTTGCATTGCTTCCAAACAGTATCTGGTTTTACAAATCGTTTCTGCAGGGAAAATCCCAGAGTTGTGGGAAGATGGACTTGCTTTGATTTAGAGACAAAGTGATGAAAGCCAAGTCCTCCTATCTTGCAAAAGCAACCACAAGAGGGTGCTGCAAACCCTGACTGCAACTTAGGAAAGGGTTTAATGGCATGGATACTTGATCTTAGGGGGCTATTGTGAGAGCACTCAAAATGTTAGATATTTCTAAAGCAGAGATAAAAACAGAGGAAATTGATGCACACCCTTATTTTGTCTTGTGAAAAAGGGATTTTTTTCTCCTCCCTATGAAGAAGTCGTTAATCAAAGACTGTAACTGTGTGTGATGCTCAGAGCTGGCTGTAGCTTGAAGCGAAGTCTCCTCAGGGAGCAGCTCTTGGGTGGCCAAATAACAGATGAGAGCGCTAATGGGGCTCAAGCTCAGGGGAATTCTCCTGCACAAACACCATTGAAATGAAAGAACACAGCTCCCATTCATTTCAAGAGAGCTAATCCACAGGAGAACGTCATCCCAATATCTTGTGCCCATGTTACTTGGGAAGGGGGTGTCATCATTTGGTGTATGTGTATCAGGCACCAGAATGTCTAGGCGTGCTCTGCCACTTGCATTTGTACAGAGAGAATTCTGGAACCTTCTTTCTCTGCAAAGGTCTGTTCTGGTGTTTGGAGGTTAAATGGCGTGTGAACCTTGGCTGGTGATTCCTGGGCTTTAAATGTTGATCACTCTGAATGGAACTAACATAATAGCTGGATGCTTACATGTATCCTATTGTTATATGTAGCTGGAAGAGAGTAAAAAAAAGTTGTGAGTGCTTTCAGTTATGTCTTTGCATGTTAGCTGCCTGGCTTTTACTATCAGCTAAATTAAACCAGTCTAGAGAGGATGCCTAGTGGAAGGGCTGGGGAAAAAGCACTGACAAATTTCCATTAAAAAAAGCAAATATCCATGACAAAATATAACTGCTTTGTCGTGTCAACGATGTATAAACAGTATATTCAAACTTAAACCAATTTGGGTTCTTTTGTATGTAAACTGTAAAATTGTGTTAATATTTTGGTTAAATTAAGTACTCTGACAAAGATCTTTGAATGTGTCTTATAAAATGATGCCTCTTGAATTTATATTTCATTGCTAATTTTATCAGTGGTTGACAAAATGTATTATTCAAATTGGACTAAGCTGCATCAGGGATGGCATTTTTAAATTTACACAGTCAATTTGTTTTACACCGTTTAATACTAACTTTCAATATGGCAACTTTGTACATGAATATTTCAGTATTTTATTTCCATAGACTTTTAAAAAAAACAACCAACCAACCAGTAACATTTCCTCCCAGGATAATTGTCACAGGATTCCTGGGTGGGAGTGATATGATTGTCATGACAATGTCATGTGGTGATAGAATTTCTTCATTGACGAATTCCTAGCAATTGTGTATACTTTATTTACCCATGCTTATCTTAGTAACTGAAAATAGAAGGAGCTCTTGATCATCTCCTTACTTAAAACATACGGTACTGGCAATGGAGCTTTCAGTAGCTGCAAAAGATAGTCGAGAATGGAGCTGGCTCAGCTTACAAGACAAGGCGTGCAGCCTCCTTGTTTGGTGGATTTGGGTTCTGGCCACCAGGAAGGCGACAATGTGGGAGACAGGTTCTTACCCATGGGGTACAATCCATGGTGAAGTTCTCTAGCACGAGCCTCGCAAACATTAACTGTAGTGCTTTTGTGCAGCCCCCCATCTGTTTCAACTGAAGAGAACTTCCCTGTAGATTGCATCCCAGCATAATTGATGTGTGTGTGTGGAAGAGGGGATTTGGCTTTAGGCGCCGTAACACCTTGGGCCAGCTCTGATTGAGAACCAGTTATGCTGCAAGAGATGTTAATTAAAGGCGAGATTCAGCAGTCAGACCAAAACGTATCAGCTTCTTACTGCTGAAATAAACTAGACTGTGAATTTATGCCATCTGCGAAGTGCCAGCCTCCAGTGGTGTAATTTTAGGCTGCTCCCATAACAGCTGAATGATGGAGAATCTCTGACCCACAAGCCTGCAACCCTCTCCCCTCAGCCTTTGTTTCCATCTCACTTTTACCTCCACACCTATCATTATAGTGACATAGGGTTACCAGGCATAGGGCTTGGTGAGGTGTGAGTGGGGGAGAGCACAGTGATAGGAAAGGCATGGCATTAGAAGCTCGGGTTATGCCTTTTGTTCACTTGCTGCTGTACACTGTTTTTTGATAGTAGTTTGCTCCAAGAAGGGAGTGGGTGAATACAGGAAGATGCGAGGGGGCTGGTCTTCCCTGCTGGAAGAGGAGTGACACAGCTCACTTGCAGGCATGTGTCAGAATGCTTGAGAGGCTCTGTTTGTACATAAGATTTGCTTTTAAACCCACTGGCCAGTTTAAAATCTGGTTCTTGGCTCCCCAGAGGGCCCCTCCACCCTTTCCTTAGATGTAAGGTCAGACCCCCTTCACAATTGACTCTCACATCTGTTGAAGCTGTGTGTCCCAGTTGGAGCAAAGAACACATGCAAAATTTTCTGATTAGAAGTACTGTGACTAGGGATGTGTGCTTGGTATAAACCGAGCCGAAAAAATACCCAATAAATACCTTATTGGTATTTATCAGGTATTTTTTTAGCCAATCACTGAGGGGGCTAGTGATTTGGCTATCTGAAAATGGCCAACCTGAAAAATCCTGGAAATATTCAGGATTTTCCAGGACTACCAGATAGCCACAGTTACAGACCATTTAAAGGACTCTCAGTCCCTTTAAATGCCTTCAGGGTTGAACTCTCAGGCACTTAAAGGGACTGCAGTTCCTTTAAATGCCTTTGGAGTCTGCCGTGACTTGGAGAAGGCACTTAAAGGGACTGCAGCCATTTAAACGCCTTTTTACTCTCTACTGGAAACAATGGAGGATGGGGGCACTTTCTTCTGGGGCCCATAGAATTGGACCCCTTGGTCCAATCTTTTTGAAACTTGGGAGGGGGGAGAGTTGAGAAGAGGCATCATCAGCTATGCTGCAAATTTGGTACCTCTGCCTCAATTAACAGCCCCCCTCCAGAGCCTCAGATACCCCCAGATCAATTTACTATAATGACCCCCATAGGGTATAATAGAGCTGAAAAAATTCGGCAATCCTGAATATTTCCCGAAGCCCAATACCATAAGGATACTGAGATTCGGTAATATTGGGAAATTTTTTTGGTTCAATATACTTGAACCTGAAAAATACAATCTTTTTGGTGTTTGTGTACACACCCCTAGTTGAGACTCAGCAGGGAGGCACTCTTTGGTGGTAAACTCTTAGCATGGGAAAGCGGCCCTTTGCCACTGGATGTTCACTTGCATTCCAAAGCATCTCAATATAGATGACAGACCAGCACAAAAAATAAAAGCTTTTTTCTTTTTTTTCTTCAGTGGCCTTCTTGAACTAAAACATTCAGTCATTAATTACCAGGAGGAAGTGGCATGGGGGACCAAGTCCCTGCAGAAAATATATACTTGTAGGTTTTGTGTCTTCGCATGGTGCATGCATATAAAGCTTCTCACTCAAACATTTCTTAACAGGCTGGACAGAGGACAGCAAATATGCT